TGAGATGGGGACCAGCAAGTGTTCCAGACAGGCAGCTATGACAGCCTGTGGGACTAGAAGGGATCTTTTTTTTGTTGTTATAGAGCGCGTGCGTTTGCCAGAAAGACAGAGAGAGACAAAGAGACAGAAAGCGAGAAATCACCCCCGGGGGGATGGCCATGCCGCAATCCCTTCTCCTCCATTCTCCTCTTGGGATCTTGGGCATGAATGCATGTTTGCCTGGTGTGAGTTTAAGTCACTGGGTCTGGGACTCGAACCACGGTTGACTACATGGGAGTCCAGTGTCATAGTCATTACGCTAACTGCTGGTCCCCTAGAAGGGTCTTTTTGTTCCCAGAATATACATAGAAAACTTTTGACCAGGCCATGACTAGTCTGTAGATGGGCACCAACAATGGAGCCAGCCAGGCTGGGATGCTAGCACCAGGTAGCAGAAGAGACCTCTGCCATCAGAAGTTAACATTACAACCAGTGGTCAGCTCTACTTTCTTTATAGATGCTGACTTTGGGAATGTAAGAAACCCCAGGACAGCTGGGAATAACTGAGATGCTGCGGGGAGACCAGATTTGGCCAGATTGTAATGTCTCCCGCAGTGTCATAGTGGCTTGCCTGATTGGACAGTTAAAATGCCCCACCCAGCAACCCTGATTGGTTGGTTTCATGCTCTGCCCTCTGAAGCTGGAATAGTGGAGATATCACAGCAGGAGTGGAGGTCTGGAGCAGGAGTGACAAGTCTTGGTACCAACAAAGTTGCTTCTCACAAAGGAATAAGTGTATGTGACCTTGGGCGGCAAGTATATGATCCCAAATACCATGCTGCTCCAATAGAACCTGTCATTCACAATGGAAGCCAAGAAACAGGAACAGAGGTGTCAGAAATCTGTGACAGCAATTAGCAGTGGCCGCGATTTACCCAGAGGAGTATTATGGCGAATACCAAGATTACCATTATGGAGCTTACCAGTGGCGACCAAGGCATTAACTATTAGTCACACAGAAGCTCAGTATTAATGCATTGTTTCTTTTTTTTCCCCAAAGAATTATTCAACTTTATTTATTTTAATTTGGACAGACAGGGACAGAGTGTGAGAGAGAGATAGAAAGTGGGAAAGCAAGCTACCAGGTCTGGATCTCGAACCACAGTTAGCCATATGTGAGAGTCCAGGCCCCTTAACCATCACACCACCTGTGGGCCCTAGTGCATTGTTTTTATTCAGTGAGAACCAAGCTAGCTTTGAGTAATTTTTATTTTTAATTATATTTATTATTTTCTAATTTGAGAAGAGAAAGTGAGAAAGCTAGTCACCAGGTCCAGGACTCAAACCATGATTGGCCATGTGGGAGTCCAGTACCTCAGTTGCCACCTACTGACCCACCTTTAGTAATTTTTGTCTTCCTAAAACACTTATTGTACCTAATTAAAAATGGCCTTATATGCATTCCTTTTCCTATCTCTTCCATAAATAATGCTCTAACAGTTAAACCCTACAGCACGACCAATAACTTGCACATAAAGTAAAAGGAATACAGTGAAAGGGGATTTTTTAAAGAGATTTTTGCCATAGAGTGCGTGCGCTCGCCAGAGAGACAGACAAAGTGAGAAATCACCCCTGAGGGGAGATGGCTATGCCCACAATCCCTTCTCCATTCTCTTCGGGATTTTGGACACACAAATACATGCACCTGGCGTGAGTTTCAAGCCACCGGAACTGGGACTTGAACCGTGGTCCACTATGTGGGAGTCCAGTGACGAAATTGTTACGCCATCTGCTGGTCCTGAAGGGGGCATACTCTTGCATACCACTTTTTGTAAAATATTTATGCATTTTTGCAATCTTACACTGATATTTTCAAATGGAAAACTTTTTAAGTGTGTCTACTTTCTACATGGAAGACTAAACTCATGCCCCCCACCCCCACCCCCGTGTCCCTGCGTCCTTGCTGCAGCTTCTGCCATCCACTAAGATCTCAACCCCAACTCCAGGATGCAAGAACCTCCAGGGACCACTGGGAGCAACAGAGACACCTAGTCCTTAGCGAAGCTGTGAGACCATTATCTCACGGTAGTATTAAGGGTGTCATAGTGGCCCGTCCAGCAACCCTGATTGGTTAGTTTCAGGCTCCGCCCTCTGAAGCTGGAGTAGTGGGAGAGACCACAGCAGGCGCCAAGAGCTGGAGCGCAGGAGTGACAGGTCCTGGGCCACAGAACTGAGCCACCTTGACTTCCTTTCCTCTTCGCCCTGGCTCTACCTGGGAAGATATTTGCATTTCAGTAGAACGTAGTCCTGGCTTTCCACAGCGATCTCAGTGCTTGTACTCAATAGTCTCGTCCTGTTTCCCAGCTGTGCACATGGGGGCTGGGGGTCACAGTGTGCTTAGGGAATTCAGGCTCAGTGTCCAACGGAGGGCTCCTCTAGCCTGAGAGAGGGAGGGGTACCCAGCCCTGGACAAGCTGCACTGGAAAGGGAGGGAGGGCCTGATGTTCTCCCGTGGTCACAGATTTGGGTATCTGGCAGCATCACCCAGGCTCTCACACTTTATCAGTCAGTCTACTTGTTTCCACCATGACAATAAAAACATACCAGCTGAGACCAGCAGATAGCGTAGTGGTTATGTCACTGGACTCCCATGTAGTTGACTGAGGTTGGGAGTCCCAGACCTAGTGGCTTAAAACTCATGCTGGCTGCATGTGTGTGCGTACCCAAACTCCAGAGAGGATAATGGAGAAGGGATTGCAGTATGGCCATTCCCCTCTGGGGAGTGATTTCTCACTTTTTGTCTCGCTGTCTCTGTCTCTCCAGCAAGTGCATGTGGTCTATAGTAAAAATCTCTTTAAAAACAATATCAATACATGGGGAAAATGGAGTTAGATGGCAGCTGTTTTTCTGTGAAGAAATCAAAAGGAAAGAAAAGCAACAATTTGAACTAGCTTATGTGAACAGTTTAATTCATTTACAGTGCGTAATGAAAACTCCCATTCAAAAGGTGAACCGGGGACCAGCAGATGGTGTTAATGGTTACGTCCCTGGACTCCCACGTAGTTGACTGCAATTCAAGTCCTGGACCGGGTGGCTTCAAACTTACGCTGGGCACGTGTTCATGTGTGCTTAAGATCCCGAGAGGAGAATGGAGGAGAAGGGATTGCAGCGTGTCCATCCCCCCTGGAAGGGTGATTTCTCGCTTTCTGTATGTCTGTCTGACTCACTCACTCTCTCTTGTTTTTGTCTCTCTAGCGAGCCCATGTGCCATAAAGCAAAAATCTCTCTTTAAAAAAAAAAAAACAAAAAAACGGTGAAACATTTCCAGGCTTTGGGAGCTCCTTCTGACAGCTAAAAATAAACCCCTAAAGTGGGGCTCAGTCCTGGTGATGAGGCAGGGAATTGCTGGGATTTCATTCCTGCGTGAGTTTTGTTTTAGTTTTTGCTACAGGGGCCTGCAGCCCTGGGAGGGAGAGAAAAAAAGAAAGGGAGAAATTACCCTCCAGTGGGAATGGCCACTCCATAGGCCCCTCTCCTCCATAATCCTCTCAGGATTTGAGGCGCACATGCCTGGAGTTCTTCAGGCTGCCGGGTCCAGTTGGCCACGTGGGATCCAGTTGCCTTAACCTCATCCTGCTGGCCCCAGGATGAGTTTTCTTGTATAGTAGAGTGCAGCATTTCCCTCAGCACACAAAAACTGACTCTGGTGAGTGTAAAGTCAGCAAAACTGCAGTCTGCGTAGCATCCACCGATTCAGCAATGATTAGACACGCTCCAGGCTTGTTATGTTTTTTTTTTTTGGAGAGATTTTCACTGTAGGGCGCATGCGCTCGCCAGACAGACAGAGACATAGAGACAGAAAGCGAGAAATCACCCCCCAGGGGGAATGGCCACGCCGCAATCCCCTCTCCTCCATTCTCCTCTCGGGATCTTGGGCACGCACGCACACGCGCCCGGCGTGAGTTTTAAGCCACCGGGTCTGGGACACGAACCGCGGTCGACTACGTGGGAGTCCAGCGACATAGCCATTACGCTAACTGCTGGTTCCCATAGGCTTGTTATGTTTAACAATATTATTACACGTTAAGTAACAGAAACATGGAGAAGCACCTGAGGTGAGAAAAGACTGGGAATATTAGATTGGAATTGAAGCCAGGGTCGAGAGTGGAGTGCCACTCTGCCTCTGTGATTCAGTGTCAAACCTGCCCTTGATCTCTATCCTAAATCCTGAGCCCTCTCCTGCTCAAACATCCCCTGTGGCTCCCGATTGTTCCGGATA